GAGATCCACTATAACGAGCTTTGACTGTAATATTATTGATTACGAAAAGTAAAATATTATCAATGAAAATCTTGTAATTACCCAGCAAGATCTGCTCTGCATTTGATTTCCAATTAAAATGTTTATAATAACCAAAAAAGACAATACAAATAAAAAAAAGTACTTCTGGTTAGCTATTAACACGTCTTCTTTAGGAGACCCAAACCAAACCAAACAACAGCACTCACGTTTTGTCACCTTGGGCTCTGTCAAAAAATATATTGTTTTTCCAAGAAAAAAAAAATCAATTCGCATCTGTCCTACCAAAAAAAAAACCAATAGGATATATAATTAATGTGCGCGTCGATCAACCACAAACTTTATTTTACTTTTTTTTAAAAAAATGTCTGCAGTAGCAAAATAAAAAGAAAAGAAAAAACAAAGAAACTGGTAAAGAACAGCATGAGTAAGTGTTTTAAGGATGGTGGTGGTGGTGGTGGTTATCGCCCGCCACCCGTCGTCACTCTAGTTAATATATAAGTTTGGAATTAATCATTATAACTACTTAATCATTTTAATTTAACAGTGTTGATATTTCCGATATTTCTGACTTAATTAACCTTCATGCACTTTATAACATAATTAAAGATTCCGTTGAAGTTAATGCATCACCACTTCAACCAAATGAAATATATAATTTGTTGAAAGAGGTCTATGAAACTAATGAAGAGGAAAAGGAAAAGAATGATGATGATGATGACAAAGGTGACAAAGATGACAGCAATAGCGATGATGATGATGACAAAGGTGACAAAGATGACAGCAATAGCGATGATGATAACGATGTCAATAATCATCATCTAATGGTAACAGATGATAATAATAATTTGATAGTGGAACAAAATGATAATGATATAAATGAAGAAGAGGGTAATAATGACAGTGGTAATAATGATAATGGTGTGGAGGAGGAAGAATTGAGCTCATTGGAAGGGAGCATAATACATGTAGTCTCAGGTGCAAGATGGACCTGGACCAATGAAGAAGTTGCAATACTACTAAAATACATTTTTAGCAGAAAAATATCATGCAATGACCTTCATTGCTCTGGTTTAAATAGAAGAACCAATGAAGGGATTTCAAAAAAATGGAGTAGGATGAAATTTGTATGGCGTACAGAATTTATTTTAGAATGTAATATAAAAAAAAATCTTTTTATCCACGTTGAGAATTGAATAAATTTCTTTAATACATAACATACTATTTTATCTCCATTATCGCATTATCGCCGACATTAATTTTATATTATAACAATGTAATCAAGCAATCCAAAAGAAATTTAACATTCCCAGACAGTCGAAACCACAAAAAAAAGGTTCCAAAAAATCCAGTTGGATATGGAACCAATCAAAATTATTAACAGTGATGGAACAATATCTAAAAGTGCATTATGTAAAGTGAATATACCTGAAACACCCGATGTTGTAATAAGTTGTGGCATAACATACGTGGTGGTGGTGATCTGATTATATTTCACATTTTTGATATCTGCTCATGGAGTAACCGCAGATAATTAACAAATGCTGAGATTTGGTGAATAATCAATATTAATATTAATATTAATATCAAATAATAACCGATTATCTGAGTGCCAAATTTTTAATTTGACCAAATTATCTGAATGTTGGACCACTAATGATATTACAAACAATATTGATCATAAAAACCTAAAAAAGTTATTATCATAATTAAATTTATTTTTATTATATAATTAATTAAACAGTATTATTATTATATGTATATTGTAGTGTATTGTTTATATTGGTTAATTATAATTTTATTAAAAATTTTTTTTT